TGTGTTCCTCTGCAACTCAAACGTGATTCTGATTGTGAGAAGGGTTTTTTCTTTTCTTCTCTTGTGACTGTGTTTGAATGCAGCTATGCTTCATAATGCCCCTTCGAAAGAGGAAAGTCGTATTAAATCCATTATACAGATAGGGAGCTGAGGCAAAGAGAGACTAAGTGACTCGCCCATGATCACCCAGGAAGTCCATGGAAAATTGAACTAGACCTCCTGAATTCCATCCCAATGCACTAACCACAAAATCTTCCATCCTCCTTGAGAAGGAGGACATGTGTCATGTGTGTTGGATGACTGCGTGTGAATGTTTCCTCCAGTTTAAATACCTCCGAAGGGAACGGGGGACACAAGAAAATGGACTAATATAGAATCACAGAAATGGAAGGAACCTCGAGGGAGTCCCTGACACTCAAGGCAGGATTAAATATTACCTAGACTAGGGGTGGGGAAGATCTTGGATTGCCTAGATCCGGTCCCCAAGTCTCAGGACCCACCCCCCAGCATTGGGGAGTCCGTTCTGGCATTCCAGCTCCCCTGCTGTTCCCTTGGGGGCTGGAGGTACAAAATCTTCAAGGCTGGGCCCCCCCAGGCTCTGGTGTGCAAGGGAAATGTGAGAAATATCTTTCTCCTTCTCAGTTGGAGGCCACAGTGAGGGGGTTTTCCCCCTGATTCTCACTCTGTGTGCGGCCCCCGACTGATTTTTCTGTGAGTCAGTGGCCCCTGACTGAAAAAAGGTTCCCCACCCCACTATCCCTTCTTTCCTCTATCTCTTCGTGATGGGGACCTGGACATGTAAATCACGTGCACATTTATTAATCAGGGCCTGAAGAAAGCCCCTCTGCCAAAGGCAAACAAAAAGAAGAAACAGAGCCCAGAGAACTGAAAGGACTTGTTTAAGCTCACACGGAAAACCAGGGCTTTGTGTGATAGAATCCAGATCTCTTACCTCTCTCAGTCCCCCGCTGCATCCATTAGATGCAGTGAATGGCCAGTGCATAAATTACAGATCTCTCTGATCAACTTCAGATCACTGTTACCCCTCTAGCACTTTTGTAAAGAAACAGATTTTTGTAATTGTTTTCCTAACAAAAAGCAAAGTCATTTTTTAACTCTTGAACCCTTTCATTAATTTTTCAGACTGTGGCGGGCCCCTCCTGCCTGGGTTCCCGACACCCTTGTGATACAGTCTAGCCCTGGCCCTTTAAGCCAGGCCAAAGGCCCTCTGGCCTGAGTCCCCAAAACAGTCTACAGCTGGCCCTTTAAGCAGGGCTAAGGCCCACTGGCCTGAGTCCACAAAACAGTCTATAGCTGGCCCTTTAAGCAAGGCGGAGTCCACAAAGCAGTTTATCGTTGTAGCGGGGATGCACCCCAGGTAGGGGGACCTGGGCCCACCCTACTCCACCGGGTCCCAGCCCAGGGCCCTGTGAGCGACCAGGTACCAGGTCACTCCCTCGGCGGGGCCATCCAGCCGAAACACGCCGAGGTTCTCGGGCCGGGAGAGGCGGCTCCCACTCCTGCCCTGGGCCACTTCCTACCTGGATCCCCGGGCTTCCTTCCCCTGGACTTGCCCAGCTGGCTGTGATCTCCAGGTCGGCGTCCCCTCGGCAGGCAGTCTCCAGGTTGCACCAACTCGCCTCCGCCTTCCTTCCGGCCTCTCCTGAAGTCCCTGGCAACCACTGAGGGAGAGCTCCCTTCTCCAGTCCTTCTCCTTCGGCTGTCTCCCCAGACTGAGTCCTGGCCCAGGCTTTTATAGCCCTGCTGCAGCCTGGGCATGCTCGGTAGGGCTGTGGGGGAGGGGCCTCTGCAGCCAGGTAACCCTGGCTGGGCCCTGTAGGTTCAGTGCGGGGCTGCCTTGCCCCGTCACACAGGCATTGGACACGTTATTAAAAATATGTCCATTTTAGCTTGGGAAAAGTGGAGGTGAAGAACAAAAAGTTGACATTTAATGCGTTACTCTCACCCCTACATTTTTAACAATTTGTCCATGTCTCAAGTTGAATGCTTTTTTTGGTGGCAGTTTATCCATCTGGTGAACCGAGTTCATGGCTATGAAGAGTGTACCCTTCATAGCTCATCTTATCTTCTCTTTAATGAGGAAAAACATACATAAACATCGGCACTGCAGACTATTTAATGAAGCAAGCCAAACTTGACTAACTGCTGATGTAAGCAATAGACTAAAATAAATCTGGAAATTAAAGCCTACTTTTGTATTTAGCTTTGAGGCTTTTATTATAATTTGCTGTTGTCATGTCTATGTAATGAAAATTTCTTTTGGGGCAAAACAAAACAAAACAAACAATCCATAATTACAAGTTTACGTAACATATTTGCCATTAGACAACAATAATATAATATGATTGTGTTCTCTTATTTAAGAGATGGAACATACCCTCAAAATGACTAACTATTGGTCTGTGGTTAGTATTCTCCTGCCTTCAAAAAGAGACTGGCCGATGTTAGGACATCAGCCTCACAAGGGAGCGGTGGGTGTGGCAGTGACATCATAAAGGCCTGTTGCATGATTTTCCGCAAATGCTTTTAATGGAAAAGTTTTCCGTTAAAAACATTTGTGGAAAAGAGCATCTAGATTGGCATGGACGCTTTTCCACACAAGCACTTTTTGCGGAAAGTGTCCGTGCCAATCTAGACGCTCTTTTGCGCAAAAAAGCCCCGATGGCCATTTTCGCAATCGGGGCTTTTTTGCGCAAAACAAATCTGAGCTGTCTACACTGGCCCTTTTGCGCAAAAGCTTTTAATCCCATCCTTTTCATAAGTACAGGTTGAATCTCGCAAGTCCAGCACCCTCAGGACATGACTGTTGCCAAACCAGAGAATTTGCCAAACCATGGGAGGTCAATATTGTCAAGCAGCATCACCAATACTTCCACTGCTTAGTAGGCTTTTAGAAGTCATTTAAGGGTAAATTAGAGCGAAATAACAGCACAGAACACTGAGAACTGGGACTGATAGCTATAAACAAACTTCATGGGACTGTGGGAAATTTGGCTACACCCACGATAAGTGGACATCCAGCTAAATCACGCTGGACCATGGATGTTGTCAGATCAGAGAGTGCAACCTGAGCTAAATACTCTTTGTATATTTTGCTACCAATGATTTCTAGGGGAAAAACAACAAGTATTCCCATATGATTTAAAGCCCATTGAAGTCAATGGAAATACTCCCATTGAGATCAAGCCCTAAATGATCATGCAGAATACAAGGAAGAGCTTTTATTCATGTTTGCTTTCCCTTCTTAACCACATACAGAGCACAATAATTAATGGATGCTGTGTTATGTGGGCTGATAGATTGGGAGGAGGGGGAGATGAGGATTTGATCTGCAGAGTTTAGCATTCTAATGATTTGATGGGTTTGTCCTATGTATTTATTTTAATCTTTCAGTTAAATCTGGCAAATTTAATTTATGGGAAATGCCTCGTGTATTAGATGCTGTAAAATCAAAATTAAATAATTAACTTGAAACTGGAACAATATGTCTGAGAGCAGAGCCTTAAACAGAGCCACAAAAAATGATTCAAAGGCTGGAGACAATGCCTTACAATGAGAGATTTTGAGAGCTCAGCAGTGCTTAATTTGTAATGAAAGAGGGGGTGGGGCTGAAGCATTTTTTTTTTAATTTTGGTAACTCACATGGCAAGACCAGAGGTACCGGGACTATAAACTGCCAAGCCCAGCGGTACCTGGCTCAGCCTTGGAAAGCCTTAGCATAAATGAAACAGCAGAGTGACGTTCTGTTTTGCTTAGCTAAAAGATTGAGTGTTAACTGGATGACAGAGCATAAATACCTGTACAGGAAGAATATATCAGCTCTTAAATCAGGCATGTCCAAAGTCCGGCCCGCGGACCAATTGCGGCCCGTGTTCCGGTTTAATACGGCCCCACAGGTAATTTGGCAATATCTATCTTTTATGGCCCCCAACGAATCCATATGTATTGAGATGAATACATTGTAAAATCTCAGTTAATGTCAGTTGGTCTAAATCAGTTATAAATATATTTGGACACAACATGTATACTTGGTGTTATGTTCCTGTTCATATTATTTGAGCTTAAAAGTTGACAGACAACCTTTATTACCAATAATATGTAATGTACTTTACAATGTTCCTGACATATATTTCAGCTTCCTGGATTTTTTTTTCATCTGGCCTTCAGATATGAAAGGCAGAGTGATTTAACACCTGTTTAGATTTGTCATCCATGTGACGAAATGAAAAGTATGCCGTTTGCAATAAACTTTGCATAAAATAGTTAATTTGCATTTAATTTTAATGGTTCAAAGAATGTCAGGCAAAATGGTCGGCCCTCACGCATGTTCACTTCATCAAATCTGGCCCTCTTTGAAAAAAGTTTGGACACCCCTGTCTTAAAGGGTCTTTTAATGTAATGAGGAAAGTCTGAACAAGAACCAATGGCTGAAACCTGAAGCCAGACAAATTCAAGTTGGAAATAAGGCCTCTTATTTTAAAACAGTAAGCACGATTATCCAAGGGAACTGATTACCAGAAGTGGTCGATTCTCCACCTTTTGGCATTCTAAGACAACGTAGGTATGTTTTAGCCCAGGAGTCTGAAACTCCTGGCCCACAGGCCTTCCCCGGCCAGAGAGATCTCACAGTCCAGTCCGGGACTCCCAGCAGGATGGAGGGCAGGGCTGTCTGTTACTAGCCCCAAGCCCCGCCCCTTCCTCCTCCCCCATGGTCCCCCAAGCACACATCTCTGGAGATCACGGGGGAGGCTGGCACAGCACAGCCACAGTGGTCGCTCCTCCCAGCACTCCCTACTGTGGTAGGAGCCATGGGGGAAGTGGAGCACAGTGGGCGAATGCACTCCCAGGCTGTTGTGCCATTGTCCAGCTGGGGATGGCCCACGGGCCAGGAGTTTCAGACCCCTGCTTTATCCAAACACAAGTTTTTGAGCTCTACTAGAATTTAATGGCCTGTGTAATGTGGGATTTATACTACTCACACTAGCTGATCTAACGGTAGCTTCTGGTCTTCAACTCGGTGAATCTCTGAATAGTTGGAAACTTCTGTTCGAAATCAAGTTCAGCACAAAGCTTTAATCCATTTGGCCCTGCTCCTGACAATGGAAAGACGGATTCTGAATTCAGCAGGCTTCAGAGGATGTGCAGCAATGGTTCTCAGTGTTATATCAGGGTCTCAAAATGCTTTGCTTGCCCCCTCCCCTGCTCATGTTATACACAGATCCCATGCTGTTCTAATTGCAGTGGTAACCTTCAACAGAAGAGGAATTGCCGATGCAATCAGGACCACAGATAACGTCTGAGTTTCTTTATGATGACCACAAGGCAGAGCTTCAAGACAGTGTAATGAGATTCAGTAAATAATATAAGATGACGGGGGGGCAGGTTATCATTGTGAGGTAATTACACCCTATGGTTCTTATGAGGCAGGAGGCACAGCCAAGTGCTCTCTGATCCATAGGGGCAGGATAATTTTATAACCACCATCTACCCTCCTCAGAGCTGCTGTTTGCCTTGTGAAGGAAAACAAACACAACCTTTCCTGTTGGTTGAGGAGATGGGGGACAGGCCATTGCTTACTGGTGACAAGTACAACAGTGGCTGTTTAAACATTCAGCGGCAGTTTTGGCCGACCGGTGTCACTGAACACGAATCAGTCCAGTCAAGCATGCCACCTACTCCCTCCTCTATAAGTAATTGGGGTAATATTGCAACAGACTGTTGACTAGCCCATGAGACGTGGGCTTAGTCAGAGATTCTGCGACTAGGATCTGACAGTTTGCAGAACACTTAGGTTGAAAGGCCCGCCTCTCCACGGAAACACATCCAAGTCTTTTTTTTTAATGGAATGAAAATATTTAGAACTTAAAGGCATGAGAGGATCAGGGGCTGAACAGTATTTAAAATGTCCTGAAAATCACCACTAATGCCAAAATGTTGTCCCGCTATGTGGCCTTTGTCAGAATAGCCTGTCCTCTGCACAGATCACATTAACCCTAGTGTTTTATATGACTCAGAGGAATGACACTGACATGAGCAAGCATTAGCTAGCTCATCACAGACAATTCCAAAGGTTAGCCGTCAAGCCGAGCACTTATCTTTGGCTGGGAAGCCCGGATCTCCTTGCTCAATAAGTTATTTCCCCATATATACATTTTTGCATCCCTTTTTTGGTTTTCAGAAGTTCCTGGCCACTTTTGACTCCCGGTCAACAATAGCTGTAAGAAAGGATTTTGTCACCGCCCTGATCCAGCCATTTAGTCACCAGGGCAGACTGACTATGTCAGTCATTTGCATAACAAGTGACAGCCAGGCCCTAATTGCAGGGTTATGATGTCCGCATTATATGGGGTCAAGCAGCAGGGCAGTCTCAGTCATGGCAAAAGAAGATATCATTTTCACGCAAATGCTTTGAAGATTGACATCCACCCGCCAGACACACTGGTATTTTATTGGAGGGTCACTTTGGCCCAGGATAAAAAGCTTGCATTTAAAAAAGGAAGAGGTGGACCTCTTGCTTTCTATTCCAATAACTCAGTGATGGGCTGAATGATAATCTGGAAAAAGAACAATTACACAAATGATCACTAGTGCTTCAGAGTTTGCCCATTATTTCCTATTAAGCAATTATTGAAACTGATATATTAACGAGAAAATGACTATATCCTCTAATAAACAACCTCATACTTTCCTCATGACAGTTAATAGGGCTGTCCATTTCAAAGAGATAAGATTCAGCTATGACTGCCCACACTAGTCCCTCAGGCTGCCTACTACAAACACATGACATTCAAGTACCACCAGAGAACCAACGAAGTAATAGGGCTACCTTCTCATGGAGTTTTTCAAAATGTCTTTGATTAAATCACGACAAAGGACGCGGTTCCTGTACGGCTGGAGGCTTTAAAACCTCCATCCGAAATAAGAGCTTAAAACCTGCTTTTAATTCATGAGGTGATTTTAATCTCTTCCACTGACTCTGGTTCCTCCTCCCCGTTTCCCATAGCATCTGATGGCCTGTCTACACTAGGAAATTATTTTGAAATAATAACTCCCAAAATAACTATTTTGAAATAGCATGTCCACATTACAGGGAAGCCTCAAAATTAGTCCAAGGCAGGCTCACGTAATGTAGATGTGCTACCTCGACTTAAAGCCCCAGGAAGCAATGGGGAGTAATTACTTTGAATGACTCTGGGGCGTAGTTATTTCAAAATAAGAGCAATGGAGCATCCATACTATCACTATTTTGAAATAATTATTTTGAAAGAAGCATTACTCCTCATGGAAAGCAGGAGCACAGATTTCAAAATAACCAGCCCCTTGTTTCAAAATAACGGGCTTGGTAGTGTGGACACTCTGCTTCTCATTTTGAAATAACTCCCTAGTGTAAACCAGGGCTGAGATAACTTCTTGACCTAGTGGAATATCACATAATTGCAAAGCATCATTTCTGTTCTGCAATGGTTTGGAGTGTTCCAATTGACACGGCTCACACAGGTGGGAGAGCATGTGTCCTTTTTCCATCTAGGAAGGATGACGTTTTATTCTTCCACCTCATTCTTTATCTAGCCAATATATTTCACATGACAAGCCATGGATACCACAGGGAGATTTGAGGCTAACGCCCTTGTTTTCAAAAGGGCACTTGAATGAGTGCACTGACCAGGGTTAAATGTTGCGGAAGCACCCTGAAGATGTCCCCCAACTAAGGCTTAAACTAAGGCTATGTCTAGACTGCAAGCCTCTTTCGAAAGAGAGCGTCTAGACTGCACGTTGAACTTTCGAAAAAGCGGCTTGCTTTTTCGAAAGAAAGCATCCAGTGAGTCTGGATGCTCTCTTTCGAAGAAGCCCTATTTACATTGAAGAACGCCTTCTTTCGAAAGAGGAACTTTCGAAAGAAGGCGTTCTTCCTCGTGAAATGAGGTTTACCGCCATCGAAAGAAAAGCCGCGTTCTTTCGATTTAATTTCGAAAGAACGCAGCTGCAGTCTAGATGCAGGTGAGGTTTTTTCGAAAAAAGGCTACTTTTTTCGAAAAAACCCCTGAGTCTGGACACAGCCTAAGAGTCCAACAAGAGATTCTCCACTGAGTTTCAGAGTCATGGTCAAACACACCATCCAATCTGATTACAATGAGGGTTTTTAAATGAGACTATGAGGCATCTTTGTGCAGCCAAAGCTTGATTCCAGCACAAAGAGCGCCTTGTTCTCACTCTACTTTCCCTGCAAAGCATCTAACCCTGACAATGAGCCAACTCAGTCCTCAAGAGTACCTCCCTGGTAGAGAGTGCAGGGGAATTACTTAACTCTTGACAGCTGAGCCAGCTTAGTTCTACCAAGGGACCATATCTGTACTTAAGGCATGCAGCCATAGTCTTTCCTTTCAGTGAGGTTGTTAAATCTTTCCCTTCAAATCCCTGGCCAGAGCTTATATACTCCATTGGACACAGTAATAAAATAAGATCACAGCCCAGATCTCTCCAAAGACTTAGGCCTTGTCTATGTTTACCTGGAAGGTCAAATTAATATATGCAACTACAGCTACGTTAATTGCATAGCTAGAGTTGACTTATCTTAATCTTTGGCACCATCTCCACAGTGCGAGGTCGATGGGAGCCAACATTCCTATCAACTTCCTTTACTCCTCATGAATCGAAGAATACCACCGTTGATGCAGGTGCCCTTAGCATTTGATTTAGTGGGTCTTTACTAGACCCACTAAATTGAATTGCCGAAGATCGCATGCCATACCATCAATCTTCCTGGAAGTGAAGAGGTGGCCTTAATGTTCATCCTGATAAGCTATTTGTAAAGCTCACCTGAAACCTGGCAGAATTTTTGCAGCTTTTCAATCTTGGGATATCCCCAGAAGAATCCCTCCATGAAATTTGTGTATGTTTATGATTGGTGTCAAGTAAGAAAAAGAACGAAGAAAACAAACTTTTGGAAAGTTTGATACATTTAAACTTAGCTACCTCTGGAGCAAAACACAGCACTCATTTTATTCTGGTTACTCTACCATTTTTGGAGGGTGAAGGAAAAAACAAAATATGATAGGTAAGTGTAAGTATTTAACTGAAACCTGAGATTCCCCCGTTCTTTGAGAGCAGAACTCCTGGACTGCTGTCCCTTTGAAGTAGCAAGGCCTAGTAAGATTACTTGGGCACTTGATCAGATCTGAGTATCTGGTTTTCTGGGGGATCGATCATAAAAAAACTACTGCTACTCCTGTGCTCACAAACCATCCAGGGCCCGGAAAGTCTCAACACAATTATTTCATTAAAAGCTTTATTTAATACCTTGGTTGATGAGGGGCTGCAGATTCAGGCCTGCCACTAAGATGAAGGATTATTGAAAGGTGCACAACAGGGGAGACAAATGGACACACATGTGAAGTGATTTACCTTCAGTCATGTGACAAGCCAATGGCAAATCCTGACGCCCATTCCAGTGCGCTATCTATTGGCCCACATTCTAAACAGTGTTTCCTGCTAAGGTCCTGCTGATCTGGGACTTGGGATTTGAACCAGTGACCAAGAGAGGAAAAGACTGTTTTCGCCATTGCTGAGCCCATCATCCATTCAGACACACCTCTCATCCCCAAGCTGACTAAGGATTTTTTAAGTAGGTTACTTTGAGTAGTGATTGAGGTCATGTGTATAAAACTCTAACCTCACTGGCTGTGTTTGCATTAGGCTTTATGTTGACACAATTGTCAGCCCACACTCTTAAGGGCATGTCTACACTAGCGAGAAGATCGCCCCCCCCCCCCGGAGGTTGATCTTCTAACGTTCAATTTAGCAGGGCTAATGTAGACCCATAAATCAAACATTGAGGGCAGCTCCCGCCGGCATCCAGTACTCCTAGTTCTGTGAGGAGTAAGGGAAGCTGATGGGAACATGCGCTCCTGTTGGCCTCCTGCTGTGTGGACGCTACAGCTCGGCTTAAGGTAAGCTGACTCCAATTAGCGTAGTTGGAGTTGTGTACCTTAAACCGACCTAGTATAGACCAGACCTCAGGCAGCTGCATTGGTGGTAGTGGCAATGCTTGCCGGCACTCTAAGCACAGAGCTGTGTAACCCTGCTCGGAGCTCAG